GTTACATTCACAGATGTCAAGTCAGGGTAAGGTTGGGGTGTCTGAATTTAAAGCGGAAGAAGACATTGTCTAGTCTGGTTAAGTGTCTGTGGAGATTTTTTATTTTATTTTATTTTCCCCTGAAAGGGTTTTGTGTATACAAAAAAAAACTGTCATAATTCGCTAACATTTGTTTTGCTTTTTTGGACGACTTCATATAGGCTTTTTTTTTTTTTTTATTTATTGGGTAGGGCATTTAAACTTTTAATTTAGACTATGGAGTTTAAAATTTGTATCTATTATTTTATTGTTTGTTTGTTTTTTATGCTAATTATTCAATGCGAAAATTTGATGATGTCGGCAAAAAACCGTTAACTCATGTCTATTGTTTAATAAGTTTTCATAATTTAGAAAACTGATAATGTGTAGTTTTTCATGTAGGCATAAAGGCATGGGTCATCCCTAGTTTTACAACTTCTAGTTTTGTTTATAATTTTCCATTTTACTTTTGGTGTTTTATTCATTTCCTTCAAATACCAGAAATATTTAGATAGAGATGTCTGATTTCTTTTATTAATATTGTTGAAGGAGCACTTATGCTGCCTCCATCTGGTTTTAAATTCATTCTTCGTAGACCCAATGTATATCAGATTAGTATTAGGACTCTCAATGGATGAGATAGTACATTGGTATACCACAGATTTTACGCGGCATATATTTTCCAATGGGCAGTCTTCTGGGTTTCTACAATCACATAATTTTTCATTATTTTTGTCTAATTTAAGAAGGGTATACCAAATGATTTTTCTTTTCCTGTTTTTCTTCTGGTTAGTACAATTGTTTCTATAATTGATGTTAGCATTTTTGTATCCACTATTTTTAGTTTACTGTGTTGTTGGAATATTTCTTTATTAGCGAAGTTAATGCCGATTCTATTCTCTAGTGATGAGGGTATATACTTAATTATGGATGGAGAGTGGTTTGACTTAAGGTGTATATACAAGGGGTTAGTGTCAGGTTTTCTATAAGGTAGGTACGTGTTGTTTATTAAATCTAGAGTTACGTCGAGGAAGTTTACCCTTTTAATTTAGTACAGACTGTTGTTTTTACATTTAGATTTCTAAATTTACTATATATAATCTTTCTAATTTTCTCTATTTTAAAATTAGTGGAACTCCTCACTACCATGAGCCCGTCATCTCTGTACAGACCGATGTCCTTAATATCTAATTCTAATTCATATAATTTATTTCACCAAAATCCTTTTTAAAGGACTCCGGATCATCAGGTAACACTTCTATCTTTTACATAATTTTGTTAAAACAAAACTACAGCCTCTTTCGATTCACTTTCCTCTCCCCCTCTCTCTTTGCCGTAACACTCATTTGGATATATCGGTATCACCGTCGTCTGTCTCCTCTCTCTCTTTTCTTTTTCTTTTCTCCCCTCCCATTCAAACATATCATTTCCGTTAAGTTAACCATCTAAATAGGTCATGGTTCGGTCACTCTTCCTACCCCAATATAAAGCATGCTTAAGAGAGATATGAAATTAACCCCTCCCTATACTCTACCTTGTCTCTTTACCTACCACTCTCACCCCCCACTGTTAAATTACAAAAATTACACTACCCATCAATTTCTAATCCCATTTTTCCTTTCAATTCGTTGTTGGAAGTGTTACCTGATGATCCGGAGTCCTTTAATAAGGATTTTGGTGAAATAAATTATCGTAATGGTACCTTAAAGTGGTCTGTTTTTCATTAAATATTAGCTCTGTATTCACATTGAGCTCTCAGGATTCCATCCTCCTTGGAATTACCCATTCGGTTTACCAAGTTCTTCAGAACTTATATATATATATATATATATATATATGTTACCAGTATTACTCGCTTGAAAAACCTCGGATGACTCAACTTGTCGACACCAGGAGGCAAATTGGTACTCGAGGAAAAAATTGGAAGTAAAAAAAAAGAACTAAAAACATCACAACAAGGCGAAACAAATTGTCAAGTGTCTTAAGTCCTTAGTCCAGAGCGAAAAAAAAACTAAGCGATTATAAAGACAACTAAAACGTAAAGGGTTCAATACGCGAACTTCTGCCATTTACTTTTATAGCCAGTTTACCCTGAAGATCCGTTTAGTTGAAACCTAGGTAGGTTTGCCGGGCTCCTTAGTATTTATTGTAGTATATATATATATATATATATATATATATATATATATATATATATATATATATATAGCGTTTCACCCCAAGCAAGGCGGGAAGCCACTAGGACGCAAGGGGTTACAGAAAATTTGAAGCAAGATCAGATAGGTATGATAGAGGAAAGGCTGAGGAGAAGGATAGTGGATAGATCAAGACAACTGGAGATGTCGATTGACTATACATTTGAATAGTTGGAGATTATAGCTCTCAGGGAAACTGGAATAGTATGTTTCATAATTATATATATATTTGTTTCTAAATATGTATACATTTAATTTTTTATTTGCGTTTTAACTTTTTCTTAATCTCTCTCTTTTTTTTCTCAGTATATATATATATATATATATATATATATATATATATATATATATATATATATATATATATATGTGTGTGTGTTGTTTTTCACGTGTTTGTATGTGCGTTTTTATAAGCCTATGTATTTTTAAGAGAGAGAAAGAGAGACACCCAGAGACTACCAAGGCTGTGGAGATTACATCTGGATAAACCCACAAGGTTTCACTTGATATTCTGGCTTTCCAAGAGATACGAAATTGCTGAAGTTGGTATTTTCGTTTTTGTCTTTGTTTTTATTTCTCCTGCTTCGGATTATCGCCATACCCAACCCTAATGTTTTCTTTCCTTTTCTTTTTATTGAATCCAACATAAATTGCAATCTTAAATAAATGTCTTACTTTTAAAGAAAAAAAAATCGATATTATTCTTTGAAGGTTAAAAAAGTGGGACTATTTGCTTTTAATTTAAATTTAATGGGAAAAATACTAACGTAAATAGAGAATAACCAAATCCTTACATACACCTACCTTTATATAGCTACAAACATTCACACACACACGCACACACACATATATATATATACTATTATATGTTCACAATATGTTAATTATATGTTCACATACTGATGCATTATTCTTCGTTTATCTATAAATATTTTTATATATAAGGGTGTTTCATTAAGACGGATCAAAGTCAGCAGTAAATAAATCAGTGTTATTGGTGAAAATTTATTTATTTCTCTATTGGATAATGTTATTTAAGTCATGGCAATTATGTGTGAAAAATAATATCGCCCAAATGTTCGCTAAGGTTTCGGCGGCACACCTCCACTCGATGGTCAACATTTTTGATGACGTTTCTGTATAGTTGCTCTTCGATCTCACCAATATGCCTTATTATCTCATCCTTATGCTGTCGAATTGTTGTTGGCTTGTTGGCATAGACCTTACTTTTGAGATGACCCCAAAGGAAGGAATCTAAAGGCGTCAAGTCGCACGATTTTGGTTGTCAATTGACTTCGCTGTTTCGAGAGATGATGCGACTTGGGAACTTCTCATCGCATTTCCGTTTGAACATCCATTTTTGTAATAGGCTTCGATAACTTTAATACGTTCTTTCATTTTTAATCTTTCTATGGTTGAAATTAAGTTGTTAAATCTGAAAGAAAAATCATTAAACTTAATTCACATTTAAAATCGGCCCAATTTATTGGAACACCCTTACATGTGAGATAACGTATATATTTTTATATATCAAGTACAATATTGGGGAAAAATGTATGACAATATGAAAAAAGTTTTCGTGTGAGACGTTTCGACCTTTACGACTTCATCGGACTAAATTTGTTAGGTTGGTGTAACTGAACATGGGCACGAACGAGGCATCCTGGGATTTTAAAAAAAATTTTTTAACTAATAACATTTTTTAAATCTGATTTCATTTAGATTCTTTTTCTTTTTGTTTCCATCACTTTTGTTATTAGTTCAAAACCCAAAATTAAAAATTCCCAGCATCCCTTTTTCGTGCGCATGTGTAGTCGCACCAAAGTAACACATTTATTTCGCTAAAGTCAGAAATGACGAAACACGAAAACGTTTTAAACTTTGCCATACATTTTTCCCCACATATACATATGTACTTAAATGATTATAGTTGCTAAAGTTAATATGTATATGTATGTGTGTGTGTGTGTGTGTGTGTATGTGTGTTTTTATGTACATTTTTTTTGCATAGAAGATAAGTGTAGAGTATATAAGTAGAAAAAAGCGAGAGAGCAAAAATTATCTGCTGTACTTACCTACATAAAATAAAATAACAGATGGTCCCGAAAAAAAAAGGAATGACTTTTTTTTCTTCGTTTTTAGATGAAGATAGATACGCACTGAAAATAAATAAAGACAACGTTCTTTTTTTTTTCTTTCTTATTTAAAAAAAAATGGTTTACTGAATACAAACAGATGGGCAGATAATAAGGCCTCCAAAATGGTAGAAATTATAATTTATAAGATAAAAATTAATAAGAATGGCTGAATCCGGTGATGTTTTTTAGTATCAGTGTTGAAAATTGATACAGATGCATAAAAAATTCTAGAAAAAATATCTGTGCAAATATAGTGATATCCTTCTGCAAAATATAGTGATATCCTTCTGCAAAATATAGTGATATCCTTCTGCAAAATATAGTGATATCCTTCTGCAAAATCAAGCTCCTATATACACGGGCATGCATAGATTCATACATGCATTTAGGCAGATAGATAGATAGATAGATAGATAGATAGATAGATAGATAGATAATTAACATGACATAGAAAGAAAAAGAAAGAAAAGAAATATAGATAGATAGATAGATGGGTAATGAACAAAAATGAGATAGATAGATAGATAATGAACATTAGATAGATAGATAGATAGATAGATAGAGATAGATAGATAGATAATTAACAGGATGACATAGATAGATAGATAGATAGATAGATAGATAGATAGATAGATAGATAGATAGATATTTAAAACAGGATGATATAGATAGATAGATAGATAGATAGATAGATAGATAGATGATAGATAGACAATGACATAGATAGATAGATAGATAGATAGATAGATAGATAGATAATTAACAGATGATATAGAAAGAAAAAAAAAAAGAAATAGATAGATAGATGGAAAACAAAATGAGATAGATAGATAGATAATGAAAAAGAATTAGATAGATAGAGATAGAGATAGATAGATAGATAGATAGGTAGATAGATAATATGAACAGACCTCAGATAGATAGATAGAACAGATAGATAGATAGATAGATAGATAGATAATTAACAGGATGACATAGATAGATAGATAGAAAAGATAAGAAAGATAGATAGATAATTAACAGGATGACATAGAAAGAAAAAAGAAAGAAAAAGAAATAGATAGATAGATAGATAGATAGATAGATAGATAGATAATGAAATAGAATTAGATAGAAATAGATAGATAGATAGATAATGAACAGAAGATAGATAGATAGATAGATAGATAGATAGATAGATAGGATGAGATAGATAGATAGATAATAGATAATAGATAGATGACAATAACAGATAGATAGATAGATAGATAGATAGATAGATAGATAGATAGATAGATAGATAGATAGATAACAGGATTAAAAGAAAAAAAGAAAAGAAAGAAATATAGATAGATAGATAGGTAATGAACAAAATGAGATAGACAGAATTAGATAGATAGATAGATAGATAGATAGATAGATAGATAGATAGATAGAACAGACTCAGATAGATAGATATGATCAGACTCAGATAGATAGATAGATAGATAGATAATTAACAGGATGACATAGATAGATAGATAGATAGATAGATAGATAGATAGATAGATAGATAGATAGATAGATAACAGGATGACAT